AATTCCATTAATACCAAATACTATTACTAGTACAAATACGGACTCTGTTGCGAGTTTATATTCAATACAAACCTATACTTATACGTCTAACATGAATATGTGTGATTGTGATTGTATATGTTTGTGGCTGTTGCTTTTGCTTTATTTTTTTGAGTTGATATTGCTTTACRCCATTTTCACAATTTATGTACATATGTGTACTGCGGATATGAAATTGTTTATACCTTCCTGATTTATTAATAAGAGTGATAAATATAGAGCATGAAATGGAAAGTTAAAGAGTTTTGACACGCAAATGCTTGCAAGCCAATATTGTGTAAACATAAAGTCAGTTCCATTACACTATCCTCATATTTTCTTTAAGTTCTCACAAAAGAGTAACAAATTTAGTCATTTAACTGCTCTTTAGAATATGATGTGAGTAGGTTTTTGTTTTTTTTTAAGATACGGCGAGTAACAGAAGATTTCAAGACTGCAGCAAACTCTTGTAGAACCCCCAGAGGTGGTCTGATGACTCATGCTCTGAGCATCCTGAAATTACTGAGGGAACAATTCTTCAGCCTGGTGTATAGCACGGAAAGCATAACACCTGGAGATGGTGAACCCGATTCCCCAATTGATGAGCATGGAGCAGACGTTCCATTGCGCGACCACGAAAAGTTCGAATAGCAATTGCCTTTCTGAAGAACAATAAAGTGGCGGTGATCCATGTATATAAATTCTTTTATCACATTTTGTTAATGAAAACATATCATATTATAAAATCATATCATATAATCATATGCATATATTGACCAAAAGAAACGGCTTAAGAACGCCTTAGAAAGCCGGAAGTAATTAAATCGGTAGTAAATAGGCTAAGAGCAGGTCCGGACTTACTGCGCCAACTTGTGTCATTACTCCAGTATATTCGGAAAATTAACGAAAATTATTTTATGTGGTAGATGGTAGCTGTGGTAATTCGCTGATAAATTTAACCATCTTCTTTTTTAAAACACAATATAAATTGCGTTCCAAAGTAAACAGGACTTAAAAAAAAAGAACAAAAACTGAACAAATGGTTTTTTCGGTAAAATCAATTTATTTTATTTAAAATAGTCTCCTTCTACTTCAATACAGCCTTTTTGCATGGTCCAAAAGCATGTGGAACGAGTTTTAGCTCGTTGGCCGGCATGGCCGCCAATATGCCGGTGCAAGCCTTTTGARTGGCCTCTACGTCTGCATAATGGGTGAAAATGCGATAAATCGATATTTTGGAGATATTCAATTCCATTTCTATGAATTTCAATGAAGATTTCGGCTGATTTTTGATGAATTCACGTACAGTTCCGACGGAATTTCACGGATTTTGATTGACCCACATGTTGATCGTCATTTAAATCCTCACGACCACTTTGAAAACGTTGAAATCACTTATTTCGATAAAAGTTTTCCCAATTTTAAAACAAAATTGAATGTTGGCTCTTTGTTCGAAGTAATTTTCGTACCGATAACACAAACATACTGACACTTAAAATGCAATAAATTCACTTCCAATCAATGAAATGTTATGAAATTCACTGGACAATCGACAAAGATAGCAGATTCTAACGCACCAGTCGGMATACAGATGGCGCCACCAGGGGGCGCTAGATTCAAAAGTCCTGTTTACTTTGAAACGCACCTTGTAGTACTATGAGCTAAAAATGGTAAGACTTTGTTCATAATTTYAAATTCTTAATTTATTCTTCGAAATCGATGTCCCACGGTTGAAAATTTGACAAAAAACTCACAAATTAATGCAGTGCAAAAAGCAAGAGTTGTCAGCCCATAATTCCAGCCTCTTTTTACAAATGCCATCGTGAAAACAAAGCATAGCACTGAAATCGTCAACAGTTTGGACGGYCGGAAGGAATACGGAGAGCACCAAAACTCGAAAATCGAAGAAATCTGTCAACAGAACTTTGATTTTTGACCTTGTACCACAATATTCGGCCCACTGATCGTCCGTTTCCGGGTCGTAAGTAGTCGGATAGCTCTGTTTCACAGACGTTAACGCGACGCTGTTTTTCGTAGAAATTGAGTGATGTTGGAACCAATCGTGCTTTCAATTTTTTAGGCTCAAATGATTTCTGAAAATGGTTTTCACTTATTCTTCCGATATTCCAACAAAGCCAGTAAGATCTCTGACTGTTAATCGTCGATTCGTAAACACCAATTTCTATATTTTATTAATGTGTTGATCATCAGTTGATGCTGATGACCACTAATGATTAATTTGATGGGGAATTTGGCACAAATGTCAATGACAATCTTAGAACAAATGTATCGACGAATGGGTTTTCGCGCAAAATTTAAATTAAAACGGCTTTGCCCACAGTAGTAGATGTAATATAATGATTTTCACCACTCTGGTTGAATTTAGGTCAAATAATCAGTTAATATTTTAGACATAATAAGGTTTTTTTTTTCAAATATTTTTTAAAAACGGTCCGAAATCCCCCTAACTCCCATGTGTCCAATATAATGGTCTTTGGTTACAATTGATTCGCCATTTCGTCTCATAACAAATATGAAATTCATATATGTATATATCGGGTAGTCGAGAATGTATTTTCGTATTTCTAATCAAACTTCAAAATCATTGTTTTTATATATACATATATAATTAACTTTAATGAAGCAAATAAGTAGCATTGGTTGACCACTTTTTGCCATTTTGGTCTCAGTTGTTGACAGTAAAATGTGGAATCAATCGTTCGATCAGGCTGCGGCAGCTCATAGTGGATGATTCCTTTTCAATCCCAATAAACATTCAGCATAACCTTTCGCGGCAACAATACTGGCCTTGCGACTATTTGTTCAGCTTCACCTCACTTGAACCATGATCTTTTTCGCACATTATTGTCGTATTTGATCCACTTTTCGTCTCTTGTTGCTATTCGCTTCAGAAATGGTTCAATTTCATTGCCTTTCAGCAAATAATCGAAGATATTAATTCGATCCATTGAATTTTTCTAAGGCAGTTAATGTGGTACCCAAAAATCGAGCTTCTGTTTGTAGCCAGTAATTTTTTAAATAGTTCAAAACCGTCTGATGATGAATATTAAGTTCCTCAGCGACGTCATGGCTGCTTATGTGATGGTCCTGGTCAATTTTTTCCATAATTTCATCGACTTCTTCAACAATATGTCGACCAGAGCGAGCTGCATCTTTTACATCGAAATTTCCAGAAGGGAAGCCAGCGAACCATTGTTGTGCTACACGAACTGTTACAGCATCGTCTCCGTAAACTTTACAAATTTCATTGATGGCCTGCCTGGCATTCTTTCCCTTTTTATACAAAAATTTCAAAATATAGCGAATTATTCATTATGTTCTCTCATTTTTGAACAGCTGCAACTTTTTTTCAACTTCCCCGAATTTCATTTTTTGGTTAGGTAAAGCTTAAAATTTTCTTTCCAACACTATATATGACACAATGTGATTGGTAGCACTGAAGATATACTACTACAATGACATCTATTGACAAAATACGAAAATACTTTTTCGACTACCTAATATATAATATCAACTTTTTTTCTGAAAGCATGCATGTTTTTAATGATTTAATTCTTGCGAGCTCTGGGAGTAGAACTAGGCTTGTTTAAATGTRTCATTATTTTTTGGAATTAGTGTTGGCTATAATCTACATATATACTGTATGTATTAACAATAAAGTTAGACTAGAAAAAGTAACCGTTTATATTTGAACACTTTCGAACGACATAAAAAAGTTGGTGCTAATTGAATATTAGTTTACCTGAAATAAGCACTCATAATTTAACTTTCATGAAAAGTAGTATAAGATTAAGTTCAGTTACTCTGTATTTGTGACACAAGCGTGCTCAAACCAATAAGGCAAAATCTATTCGRAAACCATAAAAAAAAACTTTGATGTTTTGATAAGGCTGAAAGCTTTTTTAGGTATTTTGCAAAAGCAGATACCTCAATGACAATGTATGTATGTATATGTATATTGATGTATGTAGATGACTTTTAGTTTAATTAAGTATGTATGTAWGTATATCTTTGAAGTTATCTTAGTTTTCTTTGGACGATTTAGCTGTATTTTTGTTCTTGTTACTTTCATAGCTATATTTATAATGTTTGCCTTTTTACGATTGACATCTATATCGATTTGTATATATGTATTTAGGCTTATTTGTATTAATTATATGTAGTATTTATTTTTGAGTCGATTACACTCATAAATATTAAATGGAATTGTAACATTTTCAGCGCTTCCTAACGCTTACGGAAGGGCAGGGCTTATTAGGCAGGGCTGGGTAAAAGACGGAAGCTATCAATTACATATACACACCTATATTTAAACGTATATATGTATTTTAAGCATGTGGGATTTGTAATGGGTTGTATATATGATATGGGTCTTTCCATTCAAAAATCTGKTTTTTCTCGAAACGTAATTTTTCAAAGAGCTACTGATTCGGCCGGAATCATGCCAGCACTTGGGGCACTTTTTTTTAGCTCCTCCGAAGACAGCCTATAATCGGTTATTTTTCGACATTTTTGTAAAAAAAAAGAACCTTAAAATATACATTGCTGAAAATATAATTTAGTTTGTTCAAGAACATTCGAAATGTTCATTTGCGTACTTCCTCTTAAAAAAAAATTACGAAAATCGGTTAATTTTTCATGCGCCACACTGGTTAGCCACCTCAATCTCTTAGTGCATCCAACGTCCTGATAACTGTTTAGCATATGAACTAGCCAGTGACGGAACCATCCTACAATTTTACTCCGAAAAAGGAGGAATACATATGTTTCTGGCTACTTGTCTATATTTAATTGATAAACATGTCATAATGGGTGATAAACTAAAGCTACTTTTTTCAATAGTCTGTTTTAGACAGATCACGCCTGAATCGTGTCAACATGTTATGTTATTTTTGTTCAATATTGTTTGGCATTTTGTCAAGGCAAGACTTACGCCTGAACAACGTTTACAAATCCTTCAACTTCATTACGAAATTTCACGTTCTGTAAAGAATGTGTTTCTCACGCTTCGCTCAACTTATAGTCAACATAAACGGTCTACTCAGCGTACCATTCAAAACATCATCACCCATCTTGAGACCCAGCATTGATTATTCGATGGCCGATGCCGTTCGCAGCGACTCGGACTAACGTAAGGAATATTTTACAACGATATCTTAAATTGAAAGCGTATCTTCCAAGCGAAATTAAGTTGCTCTATTGGCTCTTGAAAAGTTCAAAGAAGATCCGTTGTTTTCGAGCCAAATTTTGTTCAGCAATTGGGCCCATTTCTTTCTCAATGGGTATGTAAACAAGCAAAATKACCGCATTTAGCTGGGTTTCGGTGGAGTTAATATCTAACTTGCTCAATTAAYAGGTAAACGTGTCRTAAATGGAATATGRACCACCCATYCCGGCTATTAAAATTGTAACGGAATGACATTTAAACTCTAGTAGGAGTACTAACAGATCACTGCCTTATTGGTGGGCATGACATCAGGCTGAGAATATCACAACATTAATATTGTAGAAGCTGTCAAGCGGTTGAAGAAGATACTATAGAATATCTTCTATGCAAAGAAAAGGATTTCGCACTATCGGTCGATAGTTYCTTGAGGAAGTCTCGAAGGTTTCACAAATAAAACTTTGGGTATTGATTAACTCCATCAAGAGCACAGGATGGTTTAGAAAGAACATAATAGAGTGAAACGATTTTAGTTCCGGTGGTTCCACCATACCCCTGTCTTATCAATTAGCCAGTGATTGAAAAATTTAAATATTCAGCAAACAAAGCAACTAATTTAAGCTTTCAAAATTGTAAGCAAAAATTAGGACTATTTTTCTTCAGTTAGCGAATATAGAAATTTTTTTTTGCTGCGAGAACTCCGATTCTGTACCTCAGTCAGTTTAACGTTTTTTTATGCAGATGTGAAGTTCTGTCGGTCAATCGGTTTTCTATCGAGCGTATTTCSTGAAAGATTAAAGCTCACCGTCAACAAACTGTTTGGACTTTATCACTGTGGCTTTATGCCTGAAAAATCAACAACAGACCAGATATTCACCATGCGCCAAATCTTGGTAAGGACCAGTGAAAAGAGGATCGGCACACACTACCTCTTTGTCGATTTGAAATAAAAAGCTTTTGACAGTACGAAAACGCTTCCAGATAAGTGATAAGTGGCTTTCTAGTTTCCGTGCGATATTTGTTAGCACCGAAAAGAACAAAGCACGATCTTTGTATGAGATGCTTACAGACTGAAGTTATTAAAGGGCATTTTGGGCAAATTGGTAATGAATATTTGAGTATGAATTATTAGCAAAGTGGGTGTAGCTCACAATCTACCTAATCATAGTCTCTAAATCCAATGAAAGAAATGTTMAAACTAAATGATTTTAATCGTGAAAACTCAAGAGAATGCTCCTTAGGAAGTGAAAATGGTATCGAAAAGTTAAAGGATTGCTAAAGAGTTGATCATACTCCATGTCACCTAAGTTGAATTGCCACTTTTTTGCCTATTTTCAGCTTAAACAATTTCATCAATTCAATCAAAAAATAATAATTTTAATTAATTCAGACTGGCTTGACTATAGAAAGACCCATATACAAATATACAAATGTATGTCATATGTATTCAAAGCGCTTTTTATACTTAATATACGCGCTACCCACATGTGGTGTATGTACATAGACGCTACTTTCTGCCTTATCATTCTATAGTAATTCCTTATGCATGTGGGCATTAAAGTAAGACTTTTTTCTATACAGACTTTATATAACCGTTACTTGTTAAGTATTATTAAATTTAATGGTTTGGTGAGTTTATAGAGTTAAGCTTAATTATTTTAGCGCTTCCTTTCTTCCGTTGGCAAGCTCATGCGCCTGCTTGTATGCCTCAGCCTCGCACTGATCCTGATTAATACAAAACTAGTTAATTACATATAGATATTTGTGTAAATTTGCGTATGTACTCTTGTTTGTTTTGTAGTATGTGTGCACATTTTATATAAGCTTAAGCTGCAATTACAATAGTTTAAACCCTAAATTTTCTTATAAATTCGTTTCAGTCCTGTGTGGCAAGGCGTTCGCTGCAACCGCTGCTGTCACTTTCGCACCTTCGACGCCATTCGCCGACGCCACCGCCGCCTTCACCTTAAGCTCTCGTTCCTCGCGGTTGCACAACGACCCCGCCGTCGCCGTCGCAGCCGATGCATCCTTTAACAAAGGTGGCTGCACGCGCGCACCCAAACCTGGTCCCACACCRACACCACTAAACAGCTTCAAGTGCCGCAATGTCTTCGCTGTGGTCTGCGTACGTTGGCTGCTAAGCGTCACCTGCGAGTTGGCGCTGCTCAAGTTGGATACCGACGTGTTGATGCCAGCTCGACCGCCGCCACGCGTGGTGCCGGTGCGCATCGACCATTCGTTCTGCTTGAGCAGAAATTGCTTTACATTGTACTCCATTTGAGCAATGTCCACGTGCTTGGTGGTGGTATGGAGTTCGGCGCTTACGGCGCGTGTCTTATCCGTATCACTGGGATAGTATTTGTAGTTGAGTATATCACAAGTGGGCTGATCGGGTAGCGTTGGTGTTGTGCTGCAAGCGCTATTGTTGTTATTATTATTGTAGTTGATTAAGAACGTCTCCGTGTTGGACGCATTCGGATCGGGTGTGGTGTARGCCACAGGTAGRCCGGAACGTGTGGTRCGTCGAAAATATGTATTTGTGGGATAGACATGCATGGTCATYTGTTGATTGCTGCAATCCGTTGGGTAGTGATTGAGAAGTKCGCTATTTTTGTAGTTGTTGTTGTTGTTAAGACTAGAGTTTGTATCGGTTTTCGGTGAGAGTGAGTCTTCRGTCGACTTATTCGCGTCATCTARCGGTTGATGAAAGCCATTTGTGTGCGGTTGTGGTGTGGTYTTATAGCCCGAATCCATTGATAGTTTCTCCATGGAGACCGAGTCCAGTGGATCTAGTGTTGAAAATGATGATTGYCGATCTGTGCCACCCGAGGAGTCGCAATTGTTCAGTGAGTTTAGTGCTTGTTGTTGCTGCTGTATACGTTGTTGTTGTTGCTGCTGCTGTTGCTGTTGTTGCTGCTCCAGTTGTTGCGTATTACTTTGCACCCATTCGGCCACACGATTGAGCTGTTGGCGCCGTAAAATAATGCTCTCTTGTATGTCAATAGCATCACTTATCGAGCTCGACTGTGTGCAGGACTTSGAATTGTGTGAGGTTTTGGAGCTGGACTCATTTTGCAATGAATGATAGATGCTTGTATGCTTTGGTTTATGCATTTGCTGAACACTACTCACAGTTCTCACTGGTTCGTTGCGCATTTGAGTGGCTCCCGTGGCTACCAATGCAGTCTGCGCAAGCGCCATATCCAATGCGCTGATCGTCGGCGTTACATTTGACTTAGAAGTGAGCGAGTTCCGCTTCTCCTGCACGCGAGCAGACTCATTTGGCGCCGTATAGGATTGATCCGCTTGTGCTGCTGTTAAATCGCTTACAGTAACGGGTGCTTCAGTTAGGTCTATAAGTGTAGCTGTTGCACCAGTTGCATCATCATCAGCTGTAAACATTTCTCTACCTTCGCCCTCGCCTCCGCCACCTAACCGTTCATATGGGCTATTACTTGTTACCACACAACTATTTGGATCCACTTCATTTTCAGTCATTTCAGATTGTACGTCGATTTCGTTACGTTGCCCCTGCGTGCTGGTATTCTTTTCTAATGGATCCGCTTGTATGATAATGACATCTGCCAACTTTTCTTTTTCTGCAGCCATGGTATAACCGATGCTTGTGTCTTCTGCTTGTTGCGTTGCTGCTATTTCTGCGCTCGAAATATTTGTTGTGTTGGAAGTTATGATGTCTTTAGTGTCATCTAGTTCTTCATCCAAAAGACGCTCACGCCGTTTATAAATAATCGGCGTAACTGCTTCCATAGATTCTATATTATCTAGCAGTATATTGCTTTGCCCATTCTGTTGTATGCGCATAGCGCAGAGACGTGGTCCACGGTGTTTGGGGTTTTCAGCCTGTAAGACAGGAAAATTTAATAAATATGTAAATTTAAAATATTAACACATAATTTATAACCATGGCTGTACAGTTTCTAAGTGGTTTCGAGTGTCTTATAACAAAAATCTCGCACGATTATCAATTATCCTACCCCCGTCTTTATATAAACATAACATAACGTATTCTTTAAGATACTTGCTTTCCATTTCAAAAGCCTGATCACGATTTAAAACTGCTGATTTTGGTTTGGAACACGAAAAACCACCTGAGCGGGTGGCCAAACTAAAAAAAACTCGTAAAATCTTTCAGTGCCACTAATGCATCCATTTTAAAATATAATTTGAGCTTCTTAAACCTAATCAAATCAATAATGAGGAAAGCTATCTGTTACATTAAAGGGAGTGACTGCCGAAAAATGTTCGAGATTTACTCTAGACACGAGGAAGTCATAATCCAGCATCACGGCCTGATGATGTATGGCAAGTTAAGAACTATTTGGAAAACAGCGGCTGTGAAGCCTCATTTGTATTAAAGCCCACATCCATTCTCGGCTGAGAATATACCATTGTCTTCAGATTATTATTTTATTATATTATATAAAATATGTATACTTATAAAGACGAATAAAAAGATGCAAGCTTGAAGATAGAGGATGGAGTCATGTGTAGAAGTTCACGTAAGTGAGGAAAGTTTGCTTCTGATTGCCATTTACTTGGAAGTGGGCCGATAGGATTATTTTACTGCTGCACAAGCAGCTCACGATTTCCGGTCTTRGACCAAGTATACTATGGGTATCCAAAGAACATCCGTTTGAAAGCGARCTAAGGTGAGAAGACTAATCATCCCTCCTAAAGGTTGTGCGCTGGGTTTGAGACCCGCCACGTTTAAAACGCCCACAATGAAGAGTTAAAAACAGCCTCGAAAGAGAAACTTGCCGGGAGAAGCAGAGGAAAGGTAAGACCTCCAGTCTGTTGAAGAGGTTAGGTGGAAGAGGACTTGGCTGAACTTGGTATCTCGAATTGGCGCCAAATTGCTAAAAGAAGAAAGGTTGTTAACTCGGCTATAATCGCGTAAGCGGTGTCTACACCWTTAAAGAAGAGTTTTTCAGCATGATAACGAATGACTTGATAATGCAAGAGGTTAAGAATAGTTTTGAAAACAAGGGCTGAGAGCCCCACCTGCCTTAAAGTTCCAGCCGCCAAGCCGGAGCTGTTTTTTTTTAAGGAATCCACAAATAGGCAGGAATTTAAGGCAGGTGAATTTAAGATAGTTTTAGATTAGTTTTAAAATAATTGCAAGCCGAAAGAAAGATTTTGTTAGTAAGAATGTGAGATTTCTACTGGGTGACAGGTTACAAAACCATCGASGGCGAAATTGCTAAAAATATTATGTGTGACTGTCACCAGAAAACGTGATAAACATTGAAAAACTCATACAWTGCCTATATGATGATTAGGAGCAGGGAAGGGAAAATCACAACGCGATGGAACAATCTACCTGGGTGCAAAAGTTCCAACTGGCACTCGATAGAAGGGACTGCTGGAACACGATTGCAATAGTTTTCGCACACGGCTGCTAAATAGGAATAATAGATCGAGAAGACTGCAATAAATTTCAAGAGTAAGGTACCAGGGAAACAAAGAAGCTTCTTTAGCGCATTTGACCAGCATTGGCAAAGCTACGCTTTAAGATTTTGGTAGTCACACGGTATGAGACAATAGAAGAGGTATCGTTGGCTAGGCACCTCTTATCTTATCCACAGAGTATCTTAACTATATTTGCTCTCTCATCTCACCTATTCTTTTATTGTGGCATTCACTTTTAAACACTATATTCYGTCAGCAATGCTTTTATTCTACTTACCTTAATCGTTTTAATCAAATTCCTATTAAAGGTCTCGAACATCTTTGCGCCCTCACAACTACTCGTTCTGCTCCACAGACTATTCACGCTGCCGGTAATTGTAGACTTCAAGAGATTTTCCTTAGGATCGGAGGCACTACATACACTCGCTGGTGATTTCATTTGCTGCTCCAACGCAGACTCAGCTAACTCTATACCGACACTTGTTTTTAATCTACCATAATCCAGTAAATTAGATTGTGAACTTGCACTGAGCAAAGGTTTCGCCTCGTCATCCAACTCATCGTTGCCCACCGATTTGGGTGTTACTTGTTCCGTCACCTTCTTGGCAACATTTTGTATTGTGACATTACCACTGGCACTGCCAATAGCGGCATTGAGTAACTCTAGAGCCGTGCCGCCACCCTCCAGGAAGCGTCGCTGAAAACCACTTTTCGCTTGCATACCAGCTGCAAGGCTATTACTCGTCTCCAACATATACTTTTCATTCCCATAAGTACCCAAATGTGTGGTTGGATACAGTAGCGTAGTGCTCAACTTGGCCGCTGCAATGGCATTTTGATGTTGCAAAGCACCACTGCCAGCCGTACGATCACACAGACGATGATGTCCCAATATGGGATTCACCATCAAATCGTCCTTTTTAGCTGGTGTAAACAATTTATCCATATCGTTGAGATCCGATACAGAACTTTTCGTTTCCGAAATCACCGAATCGCTGGATTTCACCAATTTCATCAGATAGGGACTATTGGTGCGTGATGGTGAGTTCAAATTGCTATGACAACGTAGGCACAATTGTGTGAGCGGTTCGTTAAGATTACCGCCGGTGAGCTGTAGTTGGTACGGAGTTTGCGTRGAAACTGTATAGGATCGCGAGACATCTGCCAGTACCGTGAGATCCTGTTTGGAACATTGACAAGTATCGCAATGTTTCACTTCACTCGCCTTCAGTTCGTCCTCGAGGAACTTGGCCATAATAATGGGTGAAATCATATCGGGATCGTTTGAATTATCATTGCTGTGTGGCGTTGAATTTGCTATGGGGTTGCTGTTGCTGCTATTGTTGTTCGTAATAATATCAGCATTAAGTTCGGTGTGGGACTCACAGCTATTATTATTGGTGGTTGTTATGTTGTTATTCAGAAGTGGCTCCTTGATATTGTTGTTGTCATTATTGCCATTRTTATTATTGTTATTAYTACTGTTGTTATTGCTGAGATTCATATTGGAATCCGTTGAAGTACGTTTAGCGTCTAAATGGCAAAATGAGGGGGCAGAAAAGGGAATTTATTATATGTTATTAAGTGTATAAAGTGAGTTAATTAGTTTACATAATTGTTATTAAATAGGTTATCAAAAATGAAAAAAGAATTGTAAAGATATAATAGAACAAATAAACACTTTTTGTCGTTGGAGTACAACAAATCATAAATAAATTTTTTTTTTTTTGTATTATGGGTGAATTAAAAATTAATAATGGTTATATAAATAAAAATTAAATAAAAAGTAAATTAAAATGAGTAAAAGCTCCAACAGCTAACAGCCTGCAAATCATATTATTCATAGTTCATGTTTTGCTTGCAAAAAAAGTTAAAACAAAGAAATAAAATTAACATACCATTAAACACAATCAATTGCATAACAATCGGTAATATGATAGAGAACACAACAAAATCGTATTTCGAAATTGAAGTCCATTTAGCAAAAATGAAATAAATTGCTGGCCCTAATAATATTAAAGACCAATAATTATTCATAATTTCTATTAAAGTGTTATTTCATATCATTATTCGTTTAATAGGTTAGTAGATTCAACAAAACAAAAAAAAAAARTTTCATATCAATATTTSACTGATAAAGTTCAGTATGTATGTACACATGTATSTATCAAGTAAAAGTTTTAGATTTGTCAAAAAAACGTTTGCCACCGATGAGTGTATTTACTAATGTATATTAATATGGTAAACATATTAAAAAGAAATAAAAACAAGTCAGGAAGGGTTAAGTTCGGGTGTCACCGAAYATTTTATACTCTCGCATGATAAAGTGATAATCGAGATTTCAGGCGTGGTTGTGAACCGATTTCCCCCATATTTGGTATATGTCAGCAGGGTGTTCAGAAAATATTATGTACCGAATTTCATTAAAATCGGTAGAGTACTTCCTGAGATATGGTTTTTGGTCCATAAGTGGGCGACGCCACGCCCATTTTCAATTTTTAAAAAAAGCCTGGATGCAGCTTCCTTCTGAAATTTCTTCCAT